GGTGGGCCGTCCGCTGCGCAAGATGGAAGTGAGGGAAATTCCTTAGGCGTAAAAAAAGAGAATGCTGGTGTTAAAACCGCAGTTGGTGATGGTCTTCTTGAAAAGAAGGATGACGACGAAGAATCTCCAAGAAGAAATGAATTTGGGGGTTCTCAAGAAGAAAATAAAGACCAAGTCGAAGAAGTAAACGAATCACAAGAACTACAAGATATGCGACGGAAAGAACATCAACCAGCCCAAGCAACGCAACAAGTACAACAACAACAAAATCCGCAACTACCATCCGTTGAGAGCTATGGTGGCTCTCCTGTTGGTGGTAATGGATCTTTGGGGTCTTTTTCTCCTGGCGTTGCTTCCTCATCCCGCAATGGTGGTGAAACAGGACGCACAGGCAGTACTTCATCCACTACAGTTGAGAAAATCTCAAAAGAAGATACGGTGCCAGAAAGAATTCAAAGTGAAAAAGCCCAGACACACAACGCAAAGGCAGCAGATGCACTCAAAAACGGACCGCAACACTACAGTTCTGTTCCAACAAAAAGGGCTCAAAATGACAACGACGTCGCCACGTCGAGTGCCGATGATTTACTCTCTTCGGGAAAGCAAATAACGGTTAAAGAAGATTCAGAAGCTTCTCAAACAGAAGAATTATCAACTGATACAAATACAAAATTACAAGAAGGTGGAAATGCTCCACCGGAATTATCACAATCACCAGCACCAGAAACCACAACTCAGCACGAAGTATTAAATTCAGTAAAAGAGATCACAGTGAGCAAGAACACGGGTGCATCCGCGAATTTACCTGATGCGCCCAAAGGAAGTAACGAAGTTCCTGCATCCACAGCCACTACAATGCAGAGTACATCAACTGGCAGTCAAGAAGCAGCAGCTACTCTGTCTTCAAATGGAACTTCTTCAATTCAGGAGGAAAAACCCACTGGAAACAATACTACTGAGAATGTTCAACTACCAGATGCCGCAGAAACTGAAAAACGCCAAAGTAGAGATACGGCGAAGGATGGCGAAAGTGACGGCAGCACCGCGGCTCCTCCAGCGGGAGAGTCAGACGCTGCCACAACCACAACCCCGAACAATCATGATGCGCGTAGCCTCAACAACAATGGCAACAATACATTCACAGAAGAAGTGGATCAGAAGGAAGCAGCAAGAAAACCCAAAAACGCACCAGAAAGCACTGACACTGCAGCAGCCAAGAGTGAGGTATCCGCAACAGCCATAAACATCTCCACTAACACAACAAAAAAAACAACCACCGGCGACAGCAGCACCGCGGTCTCCCACACCACCTCCCCTCTTTTGCTTCTTCTTCCTGTTGCGTGTGCGGCTGCTGCTGCGGTGGTGGCCGCGTGAGAGTGATAGAGAGCCATGCACCGCCCGCACACACACTCGTCTTTCACCCACTCTCTGTGTGTGTCCCCTTGCATGGACTCTCGCCCTCACCTCATTCCACGAAGCACACACATAATGTGCCCATTGTATATATGCATGCACACCCATGCAGGCCCGTTGCTGCTCTCTTTTGCACGACACGCACCGCTGCCGTTCTGCCTGGCTGCATGGGCGGAGCACCGTAACTGTTTTTGTTTTTTGCTTCCGTTGCATTGAGTGGGCGACCTCTCTCTCTCTCTCTCTCCCTGTGTGTGTTTTGCTTTACGGGAGCAATGAGTGTGTGCGCTGGTCCTCCCACGCTTCGGCTTTTTCATTGTTTTACTTGTGTTGTGGTTGAGAGCACCGATTCTGCTTTTTTGATTTGCGGCATGCTTTGACTGCATATGACTGAATATTTCTTTTTGTTTTCACATCGTTTATCCTGCTGAGGAAGTGGCAGCTACTTGTATTCTTGTAAAGCCACCGCGTTTTTTCTTCCAAATAAGCCATACGGCAGTTGATGCACGTCACCCCACAGTTGACTGCAGCGGTTTTGGTGCTGCCTGTGATGATGCCTGTGACGCGATTGCCAGCGGGTGCTTCGTTGTCACTCTGGCATATTCTTTTTTCCTTCACAATGTGGTGCATACCGACGGTGCGTGGGCGTCTCTGGTGGCAGTGAGGCACGTGCGCCTCAAAGCGCAGGAGATGCGTTGCAGGTGTGCAGCGTCGTTTTAAATAGCCAATGGGCGTCTGTTCCCGTGAAGGCGACAACAACGGCCCGGATGGCAGCAGGAGGCACTGCGGCTTTGTTTTGTGTTGCACGGCGGCTTTATTTAACAGTGCATTTGATGTTAATTTTGTGGGTCTTTTGTGGGAGAAGGCAGGAAGTTGAGGGCATTAGAACTGAATTCCTTTGAGTGGCTGCGCTCCGTTGAATTGCGGCCAGTCGCGGCATTCTTTTTGGTGTTTGGCAGCTCGTCTCTTTTGTTTACTTTCCACTGCAGCAGCTCACACCCGTCTAAACAAATGTTCTTCGGATCAGTCTTATCCACATGCTGCAATGCGTGGTGCGTGGAGTATTTGATTGTGTGGGGAGGTGCATTGGAGTGACGAATACTTCTGTTTGGCGTGTCGCGGTGTGTCGGAATGATGTTCGGATGAAATGTGGAGGGTGTTGTTATTGTAGTTTGTGTGTCTTCTCTGGTGGAGCCGACATGTGTGCGGGATTGTGGCATTGCTGGCTGACAGCTTCACGTCACTTTTCGGCATTCCTGGATGTGCTGAGGAATGACGGCTGGCGACCAGCGTGTTGGTGCTGCCGGTGGGAATAAGAGCATCGGGAATAGGCCATTTTCTCTTTTCCATGCTGGAGCCGATGGACTGGCACGAGGGCACCGGCTGCAGGCTGCCTGCCAGCACGTGTGAGCAGCGGATCCATGCACACACCGACGCTCATTGCAAGAGCGTGTGCGATCACAGTGGCCTTTTGTGGCGTGCTTTTGTGGGCGTCAACCCATCGAAGAATGTGTGAAACAAACGGCTGACTGCACACGAGGAAAATAAGTGCGTGCACTGTGCCGTGTTTTAGCGTCGATGGCAGAGCAGGAGGAAGCCCGTGCTGGCAACTGAGATGTTTGCGTCGCGAGGGATGTCGGTGTTGATTTTGGATCGTCGAGGGTGAAGCGATTTTGCTGCTGCCCGTGTGTGTGGCCACTTCGGCAGAGGGCGGACACAAAAGGGAGGGATGCAGGCGCTGCGTGTGTGTGCAGGTGCCATGCAACAACGTCACAGCGAACGTGCTGCGACTCGGTGACCCTCACATCGTTGTGGTCCTCACGAACAGCCCAGGCACGGCCCACACCGATGCACTTAGTGGACGGAGTGAGGCATCTTTTGAGGCGCTGCAGGGAACAGGATGTGTTGACGCAGCCACGACGTGCATGGAGTGTTACGATGGCACAGCCGGCTGTGGCTGGTGGAATATTTACTTCTCGGAGGCAACAGAGAGAGAGAGAGAGAGAGAGAGAGAGAGAGAGAGAGAGAGAGAGAGAGCTGCTCCTGCTGCTGGCGTCGTTGCTGCCTTTTGTGGCCTCCCATGCCGATTATTGTCTGTCCGCTGATCATGGGTGGTGTGCCTCCACTAGTGACGTCGTCCGCAGGCATTCCACAGCACCAGTGAAACACACTTCACGTCGCATGCTTTTGCTGTGGGTGTGGTGTCGTGAATGCACCCGGCATTATTTTGCCCGACTCCTTTCACTGCTTTGCGACAA